TTGTGTATGAGTGAAAAGGCTGTTTTATACTACTGGGATTAACATTTATCAAGTGTATGTATAATCTCCAGCGAACATGTAAAGCATATCTTGCTACTGCCTGTAAATTGTGATTGAATTATATGGTTCTATTTCTGTAACAATTTGATGATGCCTGTAAACTGGCGTCCCTCATGTACTGTACTATGAGAATAAATTTATTTATTTAAAATGTTTTCCCGGCTGATTTTTACACTGAGGATAATACTTGTCTCTGGCAGTGGCTTACTTACTTACTTACTTTCAGATAGAATTTGAGACAACGTTCACTAGCAGTTCTGCATCAGTGTAAAGATTTACCAGCGAAGATATTCACCTAGAATTCTCGGTGACACACGGGATTAAAGACTGACATAAAAGAATAACACGGAGACCATCTGTTTTATCAATCTGTTCGCCTACCTCCTGGTGTTCCTCATGGCTTAACAAAAAGGGTAGCAATTTCCATGCTGTTTCAATAGATTATTACATGTTCAGTTGAAAATTCTAATACTTCTGTTAGATTCTGGCCACTTCACTTTTCAGGACTTTGTAAACTTATTATATAAGGTGCATACATATCACTAACTAGTTACTATGTTGGTGCTTGAAAGACCAACTTGGTTAAATATGGTTCTTTGAAATTACTGATGCTACAAACGTAAAACTGAGTCTACTATTTCCTCGTGATAGACCAGCAAGTATGACGTGGTCAAAGTACAACCTTAAAATATTTACTTTTTAATTTCAACAGGATTGATATTCCTCTTGATTACGCGGTACCGAATTTTGGCCTGAATTTATCATCAATAATGGGCAATAATGCAATATATGCGTTTGAAACAACTCAGGTGATTATCCTGGAAGATTTTGTGAAATATTTGTAATGATGATTTCTTCATTGATGTTTTTCCGGTGTTGAACCACGCAGTTACATATTTGGCGCGCTCTTTAAAGCTCAAGGATATTTTCGTTTGTAGTTACTGTCGTAGTAACCGGTTAGTCCTTTTGCTGAGTTATTGCCTTTTATAATATTCAAGAGGTTTTTATTATACCGTTACTAAAGAAAAGATTTTCCTAGTCCGGTTTCTAGTTTTCTTAAGTAATTTTATTTCCGTTCGCTATACCGTTTGCTGGATATGTTGTTAACGAATATTGGTAAATCCACCACTACATTTCAGCAGAGTTGATACTACTCGAAATCTTCTGTGTTTTTAAGTCCATAGTGGCTCAGTCAATGTCGTGAAGACTTGAGAACCTATATTCTGCACAGGCTTAGATAACGTTATTTATATCCAAGATCACTCACTGGGTATGAACATGATTATTCAGAACTATAAATCTTGTTGTTTATACATTAGGTTGGCTGCTTTTCCTGATGTGCATGCTTTTTGAGTCTTTCATAAATAAAGGGACATTAATGCCCTATTAATGATCACAATTGTGATCTTATCCCAAATTTTAAAAAATTTCCACAGAAATTTTGACCAAATTCTGGGGAAACGTAACGTTTTTCCTCAAAACCGCCCAAAATCGCTTCTAAATCTTCTTTATTGGGCATAATTTGTGACTACTGTTTTAAACCACTTCTTTGTTAATAAAAATCCAATATCCAATATCCTGATTACAAGCTAGTATAAACCAGTGATTTCTTTGAGCTCGCCTCTTGATTGTAAGGTAGAGGTTCCAAATCTTCGGTGAACTTATGCGTAGTAAATCCCGCCACTCGACTGCTTTAGCTCTGGTAGACTCCAAGAGGAGTGGTGCGAGGATTGGTCAAGATTGTGGTTTGTAGTGTGCAGTATGTTAGGACTCAGCTGCTGCCGTGAATGGAGTTTTACCTAACACCCGTTGGTCATTCGGTATAGTCATAAAAGTAGAATAGTAATAATAATAATAGGTTGTAGTGTAGATAATATAGGTTGAGATAAGTGAAATAATAAAGGTGAAATAATAAAGAAAGAAAGAAAAGATAGAGTAGTCGGTACATTGGGAGAAGACAGGACGGGTTGTGGGGATTTAGCTTGTATGCTTATCCATTGACAATGTGGTTTCAAATTTTAAGAGGGTAAGCCATTGAGACACAAAAATGCCTCAGACACGTATTGAAAAACCTTACGGACATCAGTATGTGTGTGATTACAATTGTTTATGCACTTTATGACAGTAAATATTACTTTAAAGTCCTGGAATTCCTATATTTCTGCTTTTGAGTGGTGGTTAAATACGAGAGATGAGATTTCCTACCGTGGAGTGAAATCCACAGCCGTAGAATGTAACGAAGATCAGGCAATTTCAGATTTACAACAAAATCCCGGAAGCACGCAATATTTATGATCTTTCAAAATGCTATAAAAATAAGTGTTGGTGATTAACTTTTCATTTCTGTATCTAAGTATGGGTTTTTCTATTTCCCAAACATTTTCTGGAAATTGGATAACTCTGTGGAATGTATATTAAACTCTGTATGGTAGCGATGAACGTGCATGTTTTGCATCTTTTGCTTACTGAACCATCACCATAAGAAATGTCAGCTGAAGGGTTAACAGGTCTAAGTAAAGCGTGCTGCGCTGAACTAAGATAATAAAAACTCGGGGTTTCGATAACCACCGGCCTGAGTTTTGCATGAAAGGTTACTTCATCTGATTGGAGACCTTAAATTGTTAGAAATCAGTAGTAGAATACTTAATAAAAAGGTTCTGGATGGGTTACAATCGTCTGAATGTCTTCATTGTCATTTTCAAAACTTTGAACACCTAGCTAAATCTATCATCTTGGCTATGTTGTATCATATTTCAGGTAATTTCCTCATTCATTTTATTGTAATGTGTATGGATGCACTCCGGTAAAATATCCAGGTCATTTTTTCTGTTTCAACATTGTGTATAACTATTATTACTCTTGCAGTTTTATTTTGTAATCTCTAGTATAAGAAAACGCTTCTGCTGACCTAGGAGAACTCTGTTTGTGTGTATGGTCTCGCCGCATCGTAATCAACATTTTGTCCTCAATGAGATCAGCAATGCATTAATTGATATAAATGTAAAGTAAGCTATTTATCATATTTGTTATAAGTTTGGTACCTTCAAATTAGACATCGCTCTTGTTTTAGCTAGTTTTTTTTCATAAACGTTTTTGTTTACTCCTCCTTTATGGCTCCTAACTATCCGATACTTTCTGTCTAATAGACCAAATGGCTGTAGATTACTTTTGTACTCATTTTATTGAAATGGCCTATATTTGCATATTATTGAATTCATATAAATTGTCACCTAAACTCCATGTGTTTACTCCAGAATAACTTGCGGAAAGGTCTCGTTAATAGATGTTTTTGAACAAGCATGTGTTCTATGGTATACGTTGACGTGCAGTTTGCTTTCACACACTTGTATTGGAATGCTTGTTTTTAACTTGCAGCATATAAAGAAGTTATCTTAGAAGCCAAATATCAATACCTTAGTGAGTCAGCTGGTTAAAAGATTTCATGGTGACCTCACTATTTTTACTACTTAGATATTCCTGAGGTCTTACCACTAACAGGTTCAACTGATGTCTGGCATTTCTTTGAAAGGCCATTCATCAGTTGTCTAAATTTGTAGTGTAAAGTAGATCGAATTCATTCACATTCAGTTATTGCCAAACTTGTTTCTAGTTAAAGTTCCACGTTCTCCCATCGGTCATTTATATCATTTGTGGCTAGAACTCTGAAAGCCCTGAGTTCGACTCGTAGGGGTGTTTGAGTAGTGCGTACTGATAAAGTGTCTCGAAAACAGGGCAAAACAGTTGTCCAGTACTCCCTGATTTTGTGGAGATGTAGTTCATTGGCGTAAGCAGTCATTTTTCAGTCGATGAGTCAAGAGTTTGGGTCCCGCTCTACCTACTTCAGTATGGACTACTGAGTAGTATCATCAGCCTTCATGCGATAAGTGTGCTTCTTAGCCAGGTACATGAAAAATGTGTTCCAGGTAATTGAGCTTAAACAAACAAACACAAATTTGATGAATTCGTGTTTGTCTCATTTGCAGTCGAAACAGTGTGTTGTGTGGGGAAATTTAAAGTATTTGATCGGAGTCTTTTATCATCTGTCATATACCGAATGCATAGTTAATGTTCATTTATTTTTTCTCTTCATATGTGCATCCTTGCTGGTCATTTCATCACTTTCGTGTTTAAATTCATTTTCCTCTGTCTTAATGTCAGAAACTGTCATAAAAATCAGGACAGTTTTTCGAGTTTTATACAATTACTGAAAGCAATCCGAGTGCTTTCTAAATGATTCCTGGATTTATCGGCAGAACCCTACTGAAAATAAAGATGTATATTTTCAAATAATACATGAAATAAAATAAACTACTGTGTACATCATTTTGTTGGTGAATATATGTTATTCGACTTGGTGTTCATATTTGCATTTTCCAATCTATTTACTTTTCTTATCCATCAGTGTTTTGCACGAATCTTCATATTATTATTCTGTTCTCATTTTCTCTGTTATTTACTTTCTTTGAATATGCGAATATTAAATGCAACAACTTGTTTCATCTCGGAGCTTGGTGAGATCATACAGTGATTCCGCATCTGTTTGTATCCATCGACTAGAAAATTATCCCTGTATACGTTTCTTTCCGCTTTTCCGCACTTCTTCAACTCTGTGGAGCTATTAGCTTAGTCATTCGCTACATAAGACACTACATGCGTACCCACGTATTCTCACTAATTCACGTTCATGGTTGCTTCACATTAGATCTTCTTTCGATTTTTAACATACTTTGATGACTTAATAAAATAATGTTTACAGGTGACATAGTAATCTAATATGTTGTTTCTTAGTTTCTAAATACTTATTTGTATTTCATTTTAATCAGCCATTGAAACTACGGGGGATTACAACTGCTTTAAAATTCATACAAACTTCTAACATTGTGGATCTTTACTTGCCTTTCGAGTTTTGTGATACTTTTTATGACCGTAAACGCTGAAAAATGAGCATTTCCCACTCAGCATCACCCAGTTATGAAGAAAATTCAGTTTTTAATAGTACTGGTCGATCTAAGTCAGTTACTGGTACCGAATACCTACAAGCAAATAACAACTGTTTTGAAGAAGAGGAAGAATGGCAATCGGTAAGTACTTATTGCTGTGATTTTCATTTTTGTCTAAGTCTTTGAGCTTAATCTCAAAATTTTCTACCTATAGTTGCATAGTGTTACGGTGTAGTTCTCCACTTGTAAGCGTATTTTCACATTTTAGGGAATTGGGAAGTCAATAACTTAAATACAAATGTGCAATAATGTACAGCCACTTAACGTTTCTACATAAGGTAGTTCACGTATTCATGGGAAGCAAAGTAGTGTACTTTTTCGTTGGCTCGGACTTTCATAGCTGGTCTTTTAAATCCTTATGATATAATAAAACCAGTCAAATGAGTAAGGAGAAAAGTTTTAAGTTATGACAAAATAAAAATTTGAAATTATCTCCTTTTTAAATATTATTTTCACTTACAATCTGCTGTGAAAAAATACCTTATTAAGAACATGTCTTGAGTTACATTCTACGAGCTTGATGTAGTAAAGTACTACCTCATTCACAGTTCTCTATGTGGTTACTTATTTATTAAAATTTTATTCCTTTGCGTTCCCAATGGAACATAGGGCTTCAAGCTGGATGTTTGAAGTTTCGGTAACAGTGGTGTTTATTTTTACGGGGTGGGATTGCTAGCCTCATGCCCAACCTTCCCTCTTTACCAGTCTTATTACTGGCTTAGCGAGGTAAAGGAGTGAGTCGGCCGGGGATTGAGTCCCGAACCACCTGAAGTGTGGTTGGCGAGCGCCACCAACGCACATGTGGTTACTAATAATCTGGAAATTATAATAGAAATAAGGCAGTCACTGTGGGGAAGCTGACTGACTGACTGACTCATCTACTAATGCAAAACTTTACTTAAAAAAGAATTAGTCCATGTAACTTCAATTCACACTTGCATATATTAAGGTAAAGAAAAGAAATTTAGTGAAACAACAATAAACAAAGATGTATATCTAGATAACAGTTGAGTGAGAATCATCGAATATTTTTCAGGATAGGGAAGATGATGAAGAGTGGATACATGCGGATGATTTCAAACGATGTAGTTTCCAACTACTGGTTCTCTTAGCATCACCAGAACTCTATTCATTCAGTCTACACTTCCTTACATGGATACAACCGATAATCTAAGACTTTATGCATTGGTGCTATTTTTCTGTTAGACCATCCCTAACAGTCTTAATCTAGTTCCAATTCAGTTAAGACTGCTTGTTGTAAAGTGCTTAGGTTAGGCATTCGTAGCACGTGCTCTGGCAAGCTCAACTAACGGAGCTTCACACCTTCGTCAATTTGATTCCCTTCTTTACCTTACTTTCTACGTGTAATCTCGTTATCACTTATCATGTTGCTGCTGCACTAAAGTCTAACGTCTGTCGCTAAAAACCCAAGTTTTTTTCATACTTTCGATGTGGCAATAAAATTGCAATTGGGGCAACCAGTATAGGTTCATTTACTAGGCTGTGGGTTTTATCTGATCGTTTAAGGATTTATAATACTTATTTTCGTTCTTATTTGCTTTTCCTTATTATTCATGTCAGTACGTACTTTTTTTGAACTTAACAGTATTGATCTACTAATTTTTTTATTACATCATTTGTCGATGAATCATCACGATGACCAAACTTAGTTGCGTAATAATGTAATATAGTCAGTCACTGCATAGACAAATAATTCAAACTGCATGTCTCTGACTTACTCACTGAGCATAGATGTAATAATTTATTACATTTTCTACACTTTGCACGACTGATGAACAGGTAACCTACGAGTTTACTGTTAAGTATTTTGCTTCTAGTACACTGACGTCTTTATTTCTTTGACTTCAATAAACCAGTCTGTAAAAAGTATTTTAGAAATTGATTGAAATATACATCTGAATAATTTCAACCTAGAAATCACCCGCCTCCCTCCCCATAAAAACCAGCACCAACGACGTGTAATGCTTACGCTGTTTGTCTAACAGTTCTAGGCTAGTTGATATTTTCACGTTTAGCACACATTCTTTCGCTTTGTAAAATTCAAATAATAATCTATATTCACTGATTAGATATGTAATAATAATAATTATTATTACTATAATAATTCATACTGAAATGACTAGAATTATAAATGATCAACATATTTTGTATCGTAATCATGATAAATGGTCGTCTTATTACATAAAATATATATATTAAGAAGTAATTAATCTTAGACGGATTCTTGTTTAACTTTACACCATCATATTTGTGATGCACATAGATCATAATCTAATGAATTTACACTTATAATAACTTTTTCATCAAAGTAAGAAGAACAAAATTTGCGGTATAAAATGTACACATTTTATTTTAGTTTATTGACAAACAAAAAAAGCTGAACTCTTCTTCGATTTTGCTGAATCTATCGCCATCAAGTAATTCAAACCAGAGATTTTGTATACGAAAGGAAACAGTGATGATTCATCTCACTTCATCCTGGTGACAATTTTTTCTACTTATCACATCATCACTATAGTCCTTTTTCTGACCCTCTGACCTTAATTATTTACAATAGACCATAAACTGGACAATCAGTTCCCCTTTCTAGATCTCAGCATAAAAGAGGAAATGATGGGACATTTGTAAAATTCATCTAAAGGGAGCAAACTTGAACTGACCAACACTTGAATTTTCACAACTTTAGCCCAATCGGCTACAAACGAAGCTTGGTGAAAACGCTCTTCTGCAGAAGGAGAGTGTTGTCTTCAGAAGATGAGAACAAAGAGGTACTTCTCTTAGTCATCGAAAAGAACCTTATCGAAAAAGGATACCGTCGGAATTTCATATCAAAATATGGGAAAGAAACCCCGAAATAGTTAAAAAGAACCCAGTTTTTATCTATCTAGCGTACAAAGGCAAAGAAGTATCCATAAGAGCGGAAAGCAGAATTAAAGGTGTACTGGAAAGAATATTTCCCGCCACCAGACTGATTCCACTTTGCAACACAGGATGCTCAGTAACCCAGTTACAAGTAGATAAGTATCCTGCTCCGCATGTCAACTCCAACTGCACTCATTAATTCACCTGCACTTGCTCCAGCAAGTACATAGGAAGAGGAGAGCGTCTGCTAGATTCTCCGAGCGTATACCTAAAAGTCTCAGTTTGAAAGGCAGCAAATTATTCTCCAGTGCAATTTCTAGACATCTAATTGACACGGGATATACAGTGGAAATTAGTCAGTATTTCAAAATAATCAATACACAAAGAAAAGCATGGTTACTTCAGTTCGCAGAGGCCATTGCCGTCAGAAGACTGCCACCCAACATATGCATACAGAAAGAGAGTGTGACTAATCTTTCACTATCCTGGTAACCGAAATTATTTTGTTCGTGTGCTTTTGTGTTTTTTATTCTGTTGCGTAGCCTTCCATTCAATCTATATTTTGACTTTCACTCACTGAGTTGAACTCACTGTAAAGGTTTCAAATCTACTAAATTAAATTATTTTTTCTATTTTATAATTTTACTTCACCATTAACCCCCACCCTCCTGAAGTCTCCACTATAATGTGTATAAATTAACCCTATTGTTCGATCTTGTATTTTGTCTCTAGTCCGTCCGTGTTTCCAAGACAAATCTGAACTCTACTCCCGTGTCTAATTACTATATAAATAGTTACACTTTTAACATTAAATAATTGTCTACTTGCATCATCATTGAAATTATGTTCTTTAGACTTTTATCTATTACTTCAAGTCGTTGTAAAAGAAATGTTCTGAAGTTTTCTAACTTCATTGATTGATTTGTTACAGGATTTCATCATGAGCTGACATTGGTTAGAGAACCATTGGAAAACCTGGGATTACTGGACAGCTGTTTCGTCCTAGTTTGGAACTCCTCATCAGTTCCCCTCCCCGCCCGGGGTTCGAACCAAGGACCTTCTGGTTACAAGGCGAGCTCGTTAAGCTCATTAAGCCACTGGGACCCGATCCAATGGCTCATGATTTCTAACTTCTGCGAATTCACGACAGTACTCTCAGGTTTTCCAATGGTTCTCTAACCAATGTCAGCTCATGATGAAATTTTGTAACAAATCAACCAAATCCTTACAAACCAATACCTGAATATAATTGATTTATTTAGGATGTACGCAGTTGACGAGAATCCACGAAATAAAACGAGCTCGTATTATCCTGCAAATATATTTTCGTTGTCTCTTTATTAAAGGGAACCGGCTGTATGAAATTAATTCACTTAATTGATTTCAAATCGCTACAAGTGCTTACTTGCATTTTATTACGTAATCTTTTCTCCCTGTATGTTGCTGGTTAATTAGTGTTTTCGTGTCTTTAAGTCAGTTTCCAGAAATTATCGAATATTTCCAAAAACTTACGATAAATAACTACTTTCTTTCCGTGCTATTATGCTATCACATTTCATCTATTGTTATTTCCTGCAACCACGATCCTCATGTCAAACTTCTATTTGTGGAATAAAAATAAATGTATGTTCTTACTTCGTTGATACTATGTCCCAGTGGCTGAATGGTATACGAGCCTACCTTAAAACCGGAAGGACTTGGGTTCGAAACCCAGTGGGTGCGCACTGCCGATGAATCTCAAACTAAGGTGAAACAGCTGTCTAGTGCTCTATGGCTTTCAATGGTTCTCTAACTGATATCAATGCATGGTCTAACCTGAATAACTATCTTTATTTTAGGCTGCCTGCAGTCGAAGAGAAGCCTCGAAATAAAGTGTGTACATTTGATACTGCAAATTTTATTGTTTCTTTTACTTTGACCACAGTAGCTTTTGTTTGCATTATCGCGTCTCTTTTTTAAATTTCTTGTACGAGACTAATCTGTAACACTTTTTCTTACTCTTTTGCATTTAGAAGTTGGATAAATGGCGTGAAAAGCGTCGACAAGCCTTACGCATGGAAGCTACTCATTTGACTTTATTACAGGAACGTGAAAATAAGGAAAATGAAAGACGCAGGGAAGAAGCCAAAGACCGTTTACGTCAAGTGAAGTATGTGAAGCTTGACTATATTTACTACATATTTATTATATTAATTAAATTGTCTAGTACCAGCATGTGCTAAGTTCATTTTCATCCCAGTAATCTAGGTAGAGTTTGTGTTTGTAAAAATTTAGAGCTTAAATACTCTATATGGTATCTTTATGTAGTATGTCTGTATGCTTCATTCCCTGGAGCAGCTGTATTTCTATCCTTGCATACTATTTCCTAAATATTTTCTGTATACAGTCATATTTTTGATATTGCGTTATTTCATTTGGATGTTGTTCTATCTTATAGAAATCAACGTAGCCTTCTAGGCTGTGGACGCATATCCTCCTTAGAGTTAGTCCCTTCACCACCAATCAAAAGTCCTGGTGTCGCACTGTTAACCGGTAGTGCTTTTGATTCACCGACAATGAATCATGAAGAAAATAGACAAGTGGATCCAATTTCAAATTCTCAATCAGTTTCTTCGCACAATTCTAGATTGACAGAAGATCTGGAACATGTGAAATCAAACTCCTCCGAAATGGGAATGAATGAGCATTCTAATTGTTCCTCTCCTATATCTGAAATGAAAGCAGAGCCACTGGTAAGTATTTAAGTTGCCAACATTTCTTTTTACCAATATATCAAAGCGCAAACTGAAGAAAATGCATACCTCTGATGAAATTTCTTTCTAACAAGCTATTTTCGCTAAAGTGTTTTTGTAAAGTAGGATTCAGAAACCTTTGAACAAAAAGTCTATGTTACGTGAACATAATGAAGCAGTTGTACTATAGGCAATGCAGAGTACAACTCTATTATTTCTCTCTCAGGATACTACAACATGTATGATACTAAATGCCATATCGAAATTTCTTTAAGGCTAAGATGAATCGTTTTTCCTACTCAACCTGTTGAGCACTCACCAAATTTGATCACCTACTTCTTGTGTTAGCATACTTTCCTCTTCAAGGCATACAGTTTTTTTCCTAGCATGAGTGGCTTTTAAGATTTCTAAGGATATTAACAGGAAAGCAGTAAGATAATGTTTGAAGTAGCCTATATATATATATATAACTAATATTTTCATGATTATTCTGATACTTGTTTGTACTTATAGGAAAATACTTCTGACAAACTAATTGATATTTCTGCTTCAAAGAACAGCTCTCTCGAGAAACCTACTAAACGTAATTCTGTTGAAATAATTCGTGACCCACCCCAAAATAATGGCTCTGTAATACCTACAAATGAATCAGATAATCAGAAGTTCACATTCCCTCCAGAAAAGAAAAACGGTGATGTTTCTGTTAAATTTGAAGATTATTCAGAGTGCAAATTACGTTTATCATCTAGACATGGAGTTTCAGAATCCTGTTGGGGATTAACACTAAAAGCTGAAGGTCCTTCAAATACATTCCCATTTGTTGTTGAGCGCGTTAAAATAGGTAAGTTGTGAAGTTTTACATGCTTCTACTGTCTCTTTAGTTTATTCTCGAACCATTCTGTATAAATGTACTATTCTGTAGGATATTTTATACCCATTTAGTTGCATTTTACTACTATCACTCACTATGATGAACATTTTCTTGAGGTCAAAATAACCCAATTTAATAAGTTTTGTAGTGCGATTAAACAAACCTTACACAATAATGCAAAATTTAATTCCAATAAATCTCCGCTTTGTGTGTTTGACCGCTTCACACAAGGGTAATATCACACATATAGGTTGTAAAGGCTGACAGAAACTTATCTTCCGACGACATGTGTGTATGTATGTGGATTCATTGACCATATTTCTGTCTTCAGAGAGAATATACAAAAACTTTTCACATGTAGTTTTGTTGTTTCGTAGTACCTGGGTGACAGTACACCTACACTTGACTGCATCCTGTTGTGTTTGTCGCCTTACTATTTTCGATTACCTGTTGTAAAATGTAGATGTTTGATGTTCCTATTTTGATTTGGTAGTCAATATATCTACTGGTTACTTTTTGTTCACATTATTCTTGAAGTTCACTTCTCTTTTTTCACTACCTATCACTCAACATCTAGGTAGTTCTGCAGATATCTGTGAGTTTCAAAAAGGCGATATATTGATTTGTATTGATGGTGTAAATCTGGGTATAAATCGACCGAATAGTACTAAAAGTACTAAGCAAATTACAAAGTTGGAGGATCTAGAAAGATTGATGGCGCAATTAGCTGTGGTAACCAAACCCATTACAGTTCAAGTCTTACGAAAAGAGGATGAATTTGGTAAGTGTTTGACCGTATTTGTTTCATATTTTAATTGCGATTGTGTGTATGTTTTTTATTTTAAAGTACGCAAAATTTTGAAAAACAAATACAGCAGTTCAAGTTGCCACACTCTGTGCAGTAACACACAAAGGTACAGAAACCAGGGAAAATCCATAAGGTGCATGATACGCGGAAATGTGTGGGAGAAAGAACAGTAACTTGAAGGAATATCAGGTCTTTATGGATCTGGGAGATCTGCGCCATTGAGAATGGTTTTGAATCATACCACCAAGTCTCTAGCCACTGGTTCTTAAAATCCCGAGGACCCAAATCAGGTAGTCTACAACTAACATGCCTCAAACCAACTGTCAGAGACTTCATGGACTGACGCCATGTTTTGAATTAACCGCCCTTAATTCTTTTCCAATTTAATCCTATGTCACCTAACACTGTGCATGCCGACTACTTAGGGCTGTGTTTTCTCTACATTTCTCAGACAGTTTTATGAATCAATGCAAGGACTCGATCATTGTTTTTGGTTCTAAACATTGTTTTTATTGTGTAACTATAGTAATTTGCTGATACCTATAGTGTAGGCAGTAATTTTCTGAACTGACAGCTTCTCTACTTATAATATTTGATCATTTTTAGTTAAGATATTGCACTTACAACAGTTAGTCTAAGCCACGTAGGAAGGTGTAGACTTCCTGGTTGGGGTCCTCGGGACGGTAAAACCAATGGTTGGAAACAATTGGTGACATGGCTCAAAATCGTTCTCAATGGCGCAGATGCATCTACTCCTTGTGACTTATGATTTCCAGTTAAACTGTTTTGTTCTTCGTTATTACTATACCTTTGCCTCACACCTCTGTTTACTGTCTATATTATGCATTTCTTCTACTTTCTTCTCTTGCTTTGTGTGCTACATGGAGTGTGGCGACTTGAACTGCCGCACATATGTGCAAAGTTCTATGTCGAAAACAGACAGACAGACCTCGGCTGCATAATAAGCTTTTTTAACTGCATTCTTCAGGCGCTGTTATTATTTCGCTGATGTTGTCACCGAGGAACTGCAGTTTTATGAACAGTGGTTTTTTCGGAATTGTTGCCATACTGACTCTCCTAGGTGCTGAATTCATATTTTTCTCAATGAACTTATCTGGATAACTATTTTTTCTAAGTAATTCTCTAATAATCTGAAGCTCCTCATTGAGATAGTCGTCTGAACAGATTAACCTAGCTCTATGAACCAGACACTTTACCAGGTTACGTTTATATTTTAAAGGTACAAAACTCAAAAAATGAATGTACTGACCTGTTGTTGTAGGTTTCCTATACACACTCCTTCTTAGTGTGCCATCTTCTTTCCTTGCCATGAAGACGTCTAGGAATGAGATACTGTCATTACTTTCTTTCTCTATGGTAAAGTTTATTGCTGAATGGGCATCATTAAACTTGTCAAGGATGTTCATTGCATCATTCTCGTTTTTCATAACCAGAAATGTATCATCCATACATCGACAGTAGACTCTAAGTCATTAATGTAATATAAATGTAATAAAAATGCTATATATATTAGAGTAGAGCCAGAGATGAAGATCTAATTGAAAAGTAAATATTTCTTCGCTCAATCTTTGTGTTTTCTAAATGTCTAAATGGAGATTTTTTTCTATATTATTATATTATTACTAGCACTCATATTTTGTGATTTCTCTATTTTACCTGTTTTGGTCATTAAACTTAACTTCCTCCTCATAGTATAAAACAACGAACAAGAACTTCGTTGAGCAGCGATTTGGATGACTTAATCATTGTGGGGGTTTTTGTAAATTTCTACCTGAACAAATATTTCTCAGTAGGCAAACTTATTTGATGCATTCTGTTCATCCTGATTAGTATAGATGATTTAGTGAATTAAACTAGCCACTAAAGACTTTTTATCACATCAGGTGGAACAAAGTGATGAGAAACGTTTTAATTGAGTAAGAAAGCTAGGTCAATCTATGAAATTACCAATCTAAATCTATCATTTTGGAAAAGAGTTCGGTGTGACCAGGTTCAAACACATCATCAGTCAAGGAATTCGTTGAGCTACGTACAGACTTGTACATCATTTGGCTCTAGTCTTTGGCATGGTAAAAATCAGTGGTTAGTAACTCTTGGTGATTTGGCTCAAAATCCCATACAATGACGCAGATTTGTTTAATTTTTATCCTTTACAAGATTCTCGTCATTATCATTCGCGTTCATCAAATTACTGTCACTCTCAAATTTGTGTTTGATTTTTATATCATCACACATTTCTGTTCTCTACTTTTATGTGTGCTTTTCATCTCAGTGTGGTGAGTTGAACTAAAACATTTCTTCTGTAAAAGGTTTTACACTGATTCGTTTGAATTCCAAAGTTACTGGGACACATCGGTAAAAACTACCACGGTGGTTTCTTGTGTATTGGAGATGTGGCTAACCCTCCCGATTCGCAGACACCAAGTCATGGGTTCTAGTCCTGTTCCACTTAACTCAGCTTAAGCAACTGGGTACAATCATTAGCCCTGATACGATAAGCATAGCTCTTAGCCTGTTTCAGGTAGTTGAATTCAAACAATCCATTCTTCAGTTTGAATCGAGTAATATCACTACGCTGTTTTTAGGTGTTATTGTATTTCTTTTTGAAAATTACGTTGCATATTGGACAATTGAATATATTTTATTCAAACAACTATTCGAGTGTTTACTGGCATTATTTCAGATTTCCTTTGGTGAATATATTCTATTTCCATAGAAGCCTAAACACTTGTGACTATCACACTTATTACAAGATTTCGTATACTGTATTTTGCGTGCTATGGTTTTCATGTTTTCACATATTTTACAGAAATAAAAGTTGACTCTAACATAATAAAAAAAATTCTTATCAGTGTAGAATGTGAGCATGACAGTATTGCGTTTCTGATATGTACATTTTTTAAGGGGAATGTAATTACATTCCAAAAGTTTACCATTTCTAAAAAAATCATAGTATTACTAAAAATACTAACAGCGATTAAGGATTTCAACTGTCTTACTTAATATACAGTGACTGATTTGAAAAAGAAAACGTAGCAACTGACATAAACAAGTTCAAGTTTCTTAATCGCAATCTTGAGTTAAAACCTACTCACCTTAAGTTTATTTAACTGTGAAGTGTTGTATAATGTTGTGTATTTACAAAACATTTCAAATTAATATGTGTGAAACTGGAACACTGTGGTAGTTACGTAACTCCGTATTAATTTGTTTATCGAATATATCATTCAATTGAAACAGAATCACTTACTGGTTGACGTTTCGAACACAATTTATTCTTCATAGCTATATCAATTGTAATTACACAACTTCGAAACTGGATTTTCATATCACCCTATCTTCCTTTCCATTTATCGAAGGTGTAGTAGAAATTTCCAGATGTTCGGAGCAGATGTTGAATCGTTCCTATTGCATCTATTCTCAGCTAATTTGATAAATAAGACTCCACTAGGCTGTTACATTAGATTTTAATACTTTCACTTCGTCTTATCCTATTGTATGGCTGCGTGTAGTGCTATGCCTGAGCTTTTCTCTAAATTCCTTATTTTATGTGGGTCAACTAATTTAGATTTCGTCAGTTTTCTCGGCTCTGCTAATCTAACTAACCGCCTCCAACAACCTTGACCTATGTGTTTGACCTTACACTCATTGCCAGGGCATTAGATAAACTGAATTATTTTGTTTAATGGTCTTCACAAGATCCTCCAACCGACATAATTTGTTTCTAAGTGAGTTTGTGGGTTTGAGTGCCTGTTTTATCTCTGCTCTGTTAAGAATCCTGTGTGAGGTTCCAGAGGTCCCCTCTTTGTATGATAGCACTGCTTGTTGTTATTCTTTCTGTGTGTATATTTGTAATGTGATATATCCAGTTTTCAAAATATTAAGTATTCCCACAGTAAAATTTAGAGCAACTCATGCAATCGAAGAATATTTTTTACGATTAGATCTCATCAGGCTTAACTCTTATGTACCTAACTTTACAAAGAAATATTAAATATAAACAAATAACGGTGATTTGTCAATAGGATGATAAAATTATGCATGCATATATATATGGATTCTATAAGTGACAAAGATTAAAAAGTGGAGCGATCTGTGACAACAAGAATAGTGAGAAAATAGCATGATTAAAAAAAACAGGTGGCTTCAGGTGATAAAGGCTGAGAAAAACAAATGGTCCGATTAAGTAATGCTAGATTGTAAGGAAAGTAAATAAACTATGTTTTATTATAAATTATTTAAATTAATCCCAGCGTGTTAAGAAAATCAAAACAAGATTTTTCTGATAAATCTGCTGAAGAAGCTGTGGATTACACAGCGAAACGTTCAGAAAAATCTTGTTTTGATTTTCTTAACACGCTGGGATTAATTTAAATAATTTATAATGAATCAATCTGACTCGGCGCTCAAATTATTTCAGGAAGTTCGTAACACCTACGGCCTGGAAACCTATAAACTATGTTTTAATCAAGATGCGATAAGATTGAGGGATGATAAGGAGATTATAAATCTGAGTAAGGGGTGGTAGTGATATCGTCAGTTGTGTAGGTCTTAATAGGCCTTGGTAAGGATAATGACTGTACTGACTTCTTTTGAATGCATAGCTTATGCTCAATAGTTCAAATACCTACCACTTCAGCTATATGTAGTAGACGAATACGAAGTCCACTAAAAAGATTCGGTGGGATGCTATGAATCACCTTGAATGCTTTCGTTTCTTCCATTAGATGATCACCATCAACTAAATATGACAAAACGGAGCTACTGATCTTTTTTTGTCTATCTTTTGTCAAACCACGATGGGAAATGTTCACCAACACGTTGGTTAAGCTGTCTAGTAGTACGCCCAGCATAACTGTCACTACAAGTACAGTTGAACTGATAAATACATACAGATGTTCAAGTGTTGGTTTGTAGGGATTTGATTGGTTACAGGATTTTCATCATGAGCT